TATATACCGGTCTCTCATTATAACGGCCAGAAACTGCCAAAACACTCGTGCCGGTATAGACAGAGTTGACTGTATCTGTAATCTCTCATTAATTGTCTTATCAGTCACTGGGTCCTATGATCAAATGTTTGTGTAACATCAATCATCGAGAGCGTTTTAACAGATTCTCGTTCAGTTTTCGGGATAACTGAAGGGAAAGTGGAAATTGTTCTTGTCAACTTTTTCTGTAGTAATACACTAATTCTTTTAGTCAAAAGCTGCACATTCTACAAAGTTAAAGTTACAAACGTAATTCTTTTGCGATGGTATAATATTGCGTCAAATTTGATTACTCGTATGTCATTATATAAAAAATAGCTCTTGGTTTCTCGCGACGTTTTAACCCCCGCCCCTTATTGCGCCAGAAATATTTTTCGTCAGATAATGTGATAAAAAGAGACAGAGGATGCCTGATTCAGTACCCGTGGAATAATTTGAGTGGTATTTTTTCACATTATTATACAGAGCACTTTCACCATTACTTTGATTTTTCATAAGAGTAAAAACCTATTATACAGCCGATAAATAATGCATTTGCTATATATCCGAATACACTGTATATACAATCAATAATTCTATTTTTTTGGTCATTACCGACTTTTTAGTACAGGCATTCTTTTTCGCAAGTCGTACATATACGCTATCGTATGCGAGAGTAAAAGTGTGAGAACTTAGTCTATATTCTATTGGTCTGCTGTTAAAGTTTTCTGATACGCAGCTTGTGTAATGGGTCCGTTGGGATCGTAGCTAAAATGTTGAAGTTAACTGCCGTGCAATTGAAAAATCTTGAGTTTTAACTCGATCCTTGATTTCAATTTTGAGAAGCCTTTCTCACGTCTAACAAATTAATACAATCACGTCAACTATGTAGTGAAATCGATCTACGATACTCCAGGTAACAATTAGTAATAAAAATTTTCCGCCGTCAATTTAGACAAGACCAGTGAAGTGAACGATTGATTCTTTTGTCGTTTATTCGATCTTGAATATCTTATCTTTTTCGGAGTATCAAACGTTCGTGTTTGCTAACTTTTCATCTCTTTCTTGATGACTTTATCGAAGAAATGTTTCGCATGCAAAATCTCAGGAGTGCTTTTCTGTACCCATCTGGTGTGTAACATAAGACGGCAACAAGTTGGAATTAAAATGGGCTCGGCAATTTGGTTATTTGAAGACATACAAAATTAATGATGGGATGTTGGTGAAGCATCTCTTATATTTACCCGGAAATTACTATCTATTCAACTGTTAACCTTTTGAAAATATCCAGTTAAAACTGTTTTCGCATACTACTCCCATTCTCAGGAGTTTTGTTTTCATTTTGCGTTGACGATGCACAAGCCGTAGCCACAAGCAAAATCTGTCCGCAAACTTAATTAAAATATTCCTTAAATGGGATAAGCCTATGACGCAAGTCTTGCAGAAAAAACTACCGTCGCACCTGTCTATTTGCATGCTGTTGGGACCGATATATTTTTATGCAAATAAAAATATACGTTATTACATGGTTGTTGATACTGTTCACATGATTTGTACTTTACTATTATGTCCTCATGTACAATGTTTTATCACTATTATTTTATGATAAAGAACACTACGCAAATCTGTTTAAAAAACAAAGTAATCAATCAACAAATGAAATAATAAATGGTGTAAACACTTGGTGTAAAGCGATGTTAGTAATTGTTTATGCCGCAATAATAATAAACTTTAAATCATCTGAAGTTTTGAGATCTTTATTCAGATTCAAATCATCCGGTTGGTCTCTCTTTTTATAGCACGCATATGTTGGTAGGACTTACTAGAATTAGGGTCAGCTTTGATGCATATATATGCACGTTTACGTTATGCAAATAGCTACTAAGGGACCGGTGCTTGTTTATGCGAATGGACAGATCATGCAAATATACGTTATGCAAATGGACTGGTGTGACTATATTTTTAATTTCTACAAAGGGAAAATTTGCATGATCGTACAACATTTGAACCCCCCTGCGCGGTGACATGTGCCACGACACTATTATTGAAAGATATTTAACAGCTAAATTCGCGTTCAGATCTCTTTGCTATTACTGTGAGCTGTTAAAATGAATAGCATTACTATTATCTGTTTGATCTTGTCGCTTCTCTTTAACCTTGGTGCCTCTAATACGATCCCCTCCCTCGTAATCCGCAAACCAGGTATTATTTTCTTCTATAGTAAGATTGCGTAATTGTCGTGTATTGTGATTATTAGAATTATAGTTATCCGTTATTACTTACTATACGTTCAATCATGACAATTGCAAAAAAGAATTTTTTTTTTTAACTGGTAACTTTATGCTAAATTCTGTATCATTTAAAAACCTCAATGTTTACTAAAAAGTAAGAGGAGAAACTGTTCGGGTCGGTCATGACATTCCTATAAAGGTTTGTCCCGAACCTGGTCTTCAACTACTTGAACGCATAATACTTATAAAAAACGATCAGAATCTGGAACAAAAAGATGTCAATATTGCGCTGAATGGTGAGTAATATTACTGCTATCGTTAGCATTAATTACAAATAGTACTAATCTTTTTTCCAACATTGATAGGAGAGTGTATCACATACAAGTACCGCCCGGCAAATCTACTTGAACCCGCTCCTTATTATGCCATTGGTTTCGCGGTCGGTAATCATATCCTGTCGAATTCTGCGACTTTTAATGTCGGTCACCCTAAATTCGGGTTAATTATTACCCTTCCTGGCACTAATAAAAATGCTCATGTAGGCAAAAAGTTTAAAACCCGAGGTTTTATTAAACAAGTCGTTCCATCACATATTAATAAATACATATTTTTATTATTTAGTGTGGCGGTAAACTTAGGATCAAATGGAAAGACCGTAAGTTTTAATGTGCAATAATTTTTTCGCAAAGAAAATTTTAATTAATTTATACTTTGATTTTACAGCATTTAAAGCATACACGGATACTTTTGCCGAAGTTGCCTTGGTTAACCGTGCCCTAACGATTCAATTTGAGCCTCCAGCAGCGAATGTTCCAGTTTCAAATGGCGAAATAACCGTCGGAATTCCTCAAGGCCTTAACAACGAGCATAATTATAATGTTGCAATTCGCGTTGCTCGCAACGGTGGTGAAATTGAACACTACTATTCAGATAATTTTAGAATCAGTGGCTGTGACTCAACAACAGAATTACCTTGAGGACAGTCGTCTTAACATTGCTTTGTTTAACCATCATTAATATTAATGTAATCCCGTCGCAAAGTGACGAATGGCTTTTATAGTGGCAGCCTTCGTTTCTATATATTAAGCTTGCATGTTATTATTTGTCAAAACTTTCATCGAAGGCATGCAAAGTCTCAGGAGTGCTTTCGTGTACCACCTGAAAGTGTAACCCTAAATGCACGCAGGCAGGGAATGAAAGTGTGAGGGCGTGCATTTAGGGAATAATAAATAATGCAAAAACGTGCATTTAGAGTAATTGATTATAACTTTATTTCATTGATTAAAATATTGGTCTATGTTTGTCTGTCGCAACGTACTAGTTTTTCTCTCGCTCATATATCTCTCGAGAATATTTTGCATTTTCTTGATGAATTAGAAATGCTTGTACAGTCTTTAAACTTTCCAATGCCCTACTAGCGCTAACGGCTGTCATTTCTGTGCTTCTTCCGAATTACTACTGCTTTCTCCTATTTGAGCATATCTACAATCTTCTGAGAATTAGCAATAAACGATTTATTATGATGATAACTTGATAAAGTCTTTAAATAATTGATTAAAACAAAAAACGATATTAAGCTATCTGTCGATTGATGTCTATAAGTACTGTATATGACCTGATATTAGAAGACAATGTTTCTGCAAGATCATATTCGATTGCGATAAGCCTTGAGTACAATTAGCATCAGAAAATAATTTGTTTGTTAAAGTGGGATGACTACAACGCGGATTTTCTATTCGTTAAATTTACAGTATGAGCCGTTATACAATCAACATAATCTGTTATTGTACAGCAATTCGCCGAATTTTATTGGTGGTGAACATTGTCCAACTATACCGTCTGAGTCACGTGCGTGCATTTATTTTCATATAGCTGGGGTTGCAAAATCCATTGCACGTGCAGAATATAGAGAGTGCACATTGCCGAGGTTGGGAATATCACATAGGTGCATTTAGGGAGAGCGTGCATTTATTTAGGGAGAGTTCACTGTATGCATAAGTTGGAATTAAAATGGGCACGGCAATTTAGTTATTGAAGACATACAAAATTAATGATCGAATGTTGGTGAAGCATCTCTTATATTTACCCGGGAATTACCATCTATTCAGCAGTTAACCCAGAGAAATGTTTTGAAAACACCAGTTAGGACCATTATTCCCATCCTCAGGAGTTTTGCATTTGACAATGTACAGGCCGCAGCCATGTTTTTATTTTATTCTGCAGACGTTACAAACAGAATCTGTCAGTAACTTAATTAAAAATATTTCCTTGAATGGGATAAGTCTATGATGCGAGTCTTGCAGAAAGAACTAAAGAATTTGCACGCTCGTACAACGTTTGTACCTGCGCGGTGATATGTGCCACGACACTATAATTGAAAGATATTTAACAGCGTTCAGATTTCTTAGCTATTACTGTGGCTCTATAACATCGTTAAAATAAATCGCATCATTATTATTTGTTTGACTTGTCGCTTCTCTTTAACCTTGGTGCCTCTATCACTGTTTCCTCCTTTATAATTCGCAGACCAGGTATTAATTCTTATATAGTGAGATTAAAAAAAATGCGTAATTTGTCGTGTATTGTGATTATTGTCAACCGTTATTACTATACGAGAAGAAGTTAAAAATCTTTTTTACTTCCGCTGCGATAAGAAAGAGAACAAGTTTTTTGGTCAATCATGACAATTTCAAAAAAAATTTTTTTTTTCTAACTGGTAACTAAATATAAAATTTTTTATCATTTACAAACCTCTAAAAGGGTAAAAGGAAACACTTTTCGGGTCGGTCAAGACATTCCTATAAAGGTTTGTCCCGAACCTGGTGCGGCAACACTGAAAACCATATTGCTTATATCCAACAACCAGGTTCTGGAGCAAAAATTGTTGATACTGCGTTAAATGGTGAGTAATATTACTGCTATTGTTAGCATTAATTACAAATAGTACTAATTTACTATTCTCTTTTTTCCAACATTGATAGGAAAATGTATCACATTCAAGTACCACCCGACAAATCCACTTAACCCGCTCCTTTTTATGCCTTTGGTTTCAACACCTGGGGTATTCTGCGACTTTTACTGTCGGTCGCCCTAAATTCGGGTCAATTTTTACCCTTCCTGACACTGATAAAAATGCTCATATAGGCGAAAGTTTGAAAACCGAGGTTTATTGAACAAGCCGTTCCATCACATATTAATAACTACATATTTTTTATTATTTAGTGTGGCGGTAAACTTAGGAAAGACCGTAAGTTTTAATGTGCAATAATTTTTTTTTTTCGCAAAAAAATTTTAATTTAATCTATATTTTAATTTTTACAGCATTTAAAGCATACAAGTGTCTTATTTTTACCGAATTTGTCTTTAATAACCGTGGCGTACCGATTCCATTTGAGCCTCCAGCAGCGAATGTTCCAGTTTCAAAGGGCGAAATAACCGTCGAAATTCCTTAAGGTTTTGTCAACGAGCATAATTATAATGTTGCGGTTCGCGTTGTTCGCAGCAGTGGACCCAAACGATACTTTTCAGATAACTTTAGGATCAGTGGCTGTTAATATCTGACAGAAATAATATTAATATAGAGACGAGTTTTATTAATTTACGTAGCATCCATCACCTTGAGGACAGTTATCTTAACATTGCTTTGTTTAATTATCATTAATGTAATTGTGTTGAAAAGTGACGAATGACTTTTATAGTGGCAGCCTCGTTTCTACATATTAAGCTTGCATTGTCAAAAACTTTCACGTCTCGAGATAAAAGCGCTGATTGTTGATTTGGAGAATAAAGTGTAAACATAGGCCATGCCGCCACTAGTTAATTCAGTCGTGTCGATGCACTAAGTAATATACATAGCACCCTTCTATTCAATCTTTACGAGAGTGCGAGTCCATGATATTGTTATAATCAATCGTGCAAAGAGAGTGTCTTCGACTAGATAGTTTACGCGAGTCGGCTACACCTAACGGACATGATAATTTATAGTTTGATCGTTTACACCAACGTGTGACTTTATAGTAATGTCTTACCTAGAGAAATCCATGTTCCCACACACCGGGTTTATTGACACAGTTCTTCTCCACATCGTTAACGATATATATACCTTGCACATTCACTCCTACACAACTCGTGCTGAAAGCTACCTAACCCGTAGCATATTTCTGCAAGTTTCAATTCTCATCGTTCCCGACAAGACAAGTGACGATATTCATGTAACCATTCAGGTTTATCGAAACCGTTTATATAGTATTTTTGAAACCAATTTTTTTTGGGAATACAACAATTATGAATGTTTTAAAAAATCTGTACAATATAAGTCAACACAATACTTATTATAAATAAAAACTCAATATCAACAATAATTTTTCACAACGAATATACATCAATTACAACATCTCAAGTCTTATTTCTCCCCCCGCACTATTGTCTATGCTTTCTGCTCTAACATTTCTATAATCAGCACTACTCCCCCTCGACTCTAGCGTCGCTTCACTCGACGGCACAGCCGTAACAGGTTCGGGCAATCCCTCATTATTTTCTCCTTCATTTGCCGTCCACCTGGCGCCGCATCTTCGCCGTATAACATTTCGTACTTTACGACACGAGCGAACTACAGACGCAATCGGAGACCATGACAGCATGGCTGCAACGTAAACATTACTGCGAGACGAAAAGGTTGATTGTGGGAGTGAAGCATAAGAGGATATGGGTGAAGGATCCGGAAAGCAATCCCGTTTGCAGAGCGGGCATTGAGACGATTTCTCTAATAACCAAGGGTCTAATCGATTTACGCATAAAAATGAGTAAAACATGCATTCGCGCGTGCTAATATAAACATGTTAAACGCACGTAAAAAAACAACAAAACTCACCAACACATTCTTTGTGATATTCATGCCCACAAGGTAACTGTCTCAGTTCGTCTCCATCAGCGAAATCATCCAAACAGATTGCACACGTTTCCTGGTATCCCTGAGTATCTTCTGAAACGCCGCTACCGCTTACACCATGTCCGCTCGCCAATGCAGACGCTGAAGTAACCGCACGAAGCGAACGTTCGGATTTAGTCGACCGAGTCGATCGAATTGATCGCACGGATATGCGACGTGAGAGTGAGAGTTCGGATTTAGAAGGTAGACGAGAAGGTGGACGAGAAGGTGGACGAGAAGGCGGACGAGACGAAGATTCGGCGGCCAAAGGAGATGATGCAGGTGTAATTGGTGAAAATGTTTGATTCTCTTTATAACTATTTGTTATCTGCTCGCTCTCAACTTTATCAAATGTCTGCTCTTTTTCGTCATCCAGGTGCTCACCAACCTCTTCCTTTTCTTTGTTTCCCATTCCCTCCTCGGTCTCTTGTCCATCCTCTTGCCCATCTTGTTGCAAATCCTTTTCACCATCTTGTTGCAAATCCTTTCCCCCATCTTGTTGCAAATCCTTTCCCCCATCTTGTTGCAAATCCTTTCCCCCATCTTGTTGTAAATCCTTTTCGCCATCTTGTTGCAAATCCTTTTCTCGACCATTTTCATCATTTTCATTCCCATCATCTTTTTTGTTTACTATATTGTCCGTCCCCTCATTTAAATTTTTTTCCTGTCGTTCTTCCCCCGTCCCGTTAGCCGTTGTGTATATACGCACGGGTAATTTATCCAACATCTCGTGAGTAAGACTCAAGATTTTCAAGCCATATGGACGGCTTGCATGTGCAGCCACATCTCGAGATCGCTGGCGACGCCGTAGACGGTAAAGATGACAGTGCATAGCAACTAAATTCAAGAGAAAAGGCAATGAGAATCCCAGCTCCCAAAAAAAGAAAAAAGAAAAAAAAAAACGACAGACATTAGACTTGTAGTTTACCTGATGTTGCACATGTGACTGCGAATAGTACAACGACTACCTATTATTGGCGGGGCGGGTGGAAAGAAACATGCAATCTGGTTATACAATAGAAACGTTAGGCGACTCCAATTGATCATATACTACATACAATCAAAGTAAACTCCCATATCCCGGGGAAACCCTTTGAAGGCGGTTCCATCTTGACCCTTATCTGTTTGACAGGTCTCGAATCATTTGTAAATGGAGCATGCTGGGCGTTATCGGAAATCATGTTCTTGAGCGGAGTCGCATTATCGACCATGATCTGATACACTGGTATATCAAAAGACTGATCTAGCCAAAGTTTCGAGAAATCGTTCGCTGTGTTAATTATAATCGCCCCACTGGCATTCTGCGTTTCTGTAGCATAAGCGAGAGCGCGAGAAGGACAAGAATCATCAATTAAAGCGATGCTATAGTCGTATATCCTGAGTGGTGTCGTGACAGCGTTAGAACTATTGGATGAGCAGTTGTATACGAGTGCATACAAAAACCCCTATTAAGTGATAGAAAGCAATGTGCGCAGACCGATAAGCAAAACGCTCATTCTATGTTATCAAAACATTCATACACTTGTTCGTACTCACTGTAACTTGTCTCGATGGTGTATTGTCTAGTAAATTTATTGACGGTGGTTCAAGTGTCTCTATCACGAAAATGTTGCCTTGAATAATGGGTGTGGTATTGTTTGATACTATCGTAACGTTTTCAAATGTAAGGGATTCTGGCTTTTTGCTTCCGAAAATTGCAGACACTCCATGAATGTGACTCCAGAAAGCGAGTAATATGGAATATAGTAGAACCGGAGCAGTCTTCAAACGCATATTCAATATGTGTTGTGAACAGTCTTTTCCAGTGAATTATATGAAAGACTACCGCTGGGTTTGGTGCTCGGTACTGATATGCAGAAAGCAAAAGTAAGAAGTCAGAAAAGGGTCTGTTGGCTACAAATACTATTCAAAGAAGCTCGTTTGTGTTATGACGAAACTACAACATTTATTGTTGATATTTTTAGTCTATATAAATATAAATGTTATTATTATTATTATGTATATCTAAAAAGATCACTTTCGGGAAGTTTTGGTTTGATGACACACATGGTATGTTATGTCAAGTGATACAAATAACATAATCCATCCTCATTCTATTAATATATAAATTGGGGCACAAAAGTGAACACGAGAGAGTGGACAAAAGGGATAATGGAAGGATAACACTGTTTGGTCGTTTGGTCATTTGACCGTTTTTGGTCGTTTGCTCGTTTTTGGTCGTTTGCTCGTTTTTGGTCGTTTGCTCGTTTGGTCGTTTGGTCGACCTGCCTGCTTATCTGAATTGTGATGACCATTATCTACTGAATGAACCTTTTCAATCTGTAGTTTCTGCTCGTAACAATTAGTTACGTAATTTGTGATGGGATTGGCGGGCTGGTAGTGCTGATAGCTGTTGTGATGTTGTCATATTTAATATCGTTCATGTTTGTTGTTACTATTTATTATCAAGGCTTTGAGATTATTACAGACCGTAAAAGGTAAACGAGTTAACGTAAACTAGTTAGGGGTGTATAATCGACACCCCTGAAAAATCCGCCTGTGGGCGTTTTGATTTGTGATAGATAACTAACTACCGGTGATAGACTCTTTTTAAAATGAATAGTGTTTTCTATTTCGATGTTCCGATAGCATATAATGTATGACAATACCTGATAAATGAGAAGCTTTTTTGGTATTAATTTGCGGAATAAAGGATTCTCTCTAACCTGAAACCCTTATTTTATCCTGAAAATACTATCTTTGTGTATACCAAAATTGTGACGAAAAAAATCGGGACACAGACTGCACGCTTATCGAAGCAGCCAACAAGGACACTGGCACAGAATGCTTACTAAACACATCGTTATGACATTCAAGGCGCTATTGTACTACTATTTCCAATTTGGTAAGATTTTATTCTCGAGTTACGCGGTATCTCACATGACTATTATTATAATTTGATTGGTCCGTTACCAAAGTGCATATTAATAATCAACTTTATTCACGGGTCGGTAAAAGGTAAACGGTTATTATATTTACCAGACCAGCGGTCGTGTATCATGGCTATGCTGGATTGTGTTGGTTTCATAACGAAGGAACATTTGCCAATTCCGATCCTTATAAGTCACAGTTTGACATGCAGCTGTAGATCTCTGCTTAATCTATTCCCCTTGGATACTTTAAATGTAGAAAATAAAACCATGAGCATTCAAAGTCGTAAACCCACAATGTCAAAAATCCTTGTTCTTGCCGATAGTACAAAGTAAAACTATATTGTTGATACATTATGACGAAATAACATACTATATATACTATGCAGCAAAAGTGTTAAGGGTTGCACAAATAAAAACCTTCCATTATTCCCAATTGTTAATCAAGCTGGGGTGTCACCAAAGACATGTAATGCTAAATCTTGTTTTTACGCGGTGCGCGAAATAAAATTTCGAAATGACATTATTATTGTACTACGAGAACTTGTTAAAACAAAACATGAAACTCTGCACACATATGATATGCCCCTCATAATACGCACACGTGTTACTTGTTGTTGCTCAATGCTTATCTTAAAACATTCCCGTTCATTATTTGGACAGCATACTGTGAATCAAATTAGCATAAGCCTTAATCGTAGACAGCGAAATGAAGCCAATAATGTAAAGAGCTGGCGTTGTGAGTACCAGTTTGCTTACAAAATGGTTATAGTACAGATCGTTATAATTGAAGATCAATCACCTGACTTTCAAACCCCTAAGGCTTTTTATATTAGAGATTGAGTAGAGAAAAATTAATTTGTAATAATTATAGAAGAACAGGTAAAAGATAATAAACATTACGGTTTAAAGATTGGACAACTTTCTTAACCTACGTAGATTTATTAAGCGAACAATACGCAAAATTATATATGGAGCGGATCACAAAAAACAGTTTCTTATCCCACGAATTGTTTAATTAATAACTATTCATAGAATTGCACGAAAAACGTGGTTATATATGCATCTGTGCAGAGACGGACATTAGCGGAGGATGCTGCTAATCCATAAATTGCACACAGGAGATTCCACTGAAAAATGCATTAGCATGGGAAAAACTAATTTCTTCACCGGGAGATTTTTAATAAGATTAATCAAATTCGGTCTTCATGTTGTTTACATAGTCAACTCGTTAATCCGAATTCCTCGTTATTTCGAAGAAAATTTCTGGTCCCAATTTATTAATATTATTGTAATAACTTAATTACCTCGATAATCCGAAAATTTTATAATAAAATTACAATATAAGTGGGGGAGATGACGTATTAAGCATTACCCTTTTAACTCGAAGATTTTCCTTTAATCTAAAGTATTTTTTGTTAACCCGAAAATTAAGTATCTTATCGGTAACACTTGCAATTCGATTTTATTTCTCAATCATGAACAAAAAACCCTATTGTGCTTACAGAGAATCGTAATAACAAAAAAGAACTATTGCCGAGAAGATTAAACTGTCTAATAGAGAAGATCCGAACATTAACAGCCAAATGCTAGCAGCTCAATTTGAAATTGGTGAATCGAACTGTACATGATGTTCTAAAGCCGAATATCTTTGTAAATATCAAATTACTGAATAAAATTTAGTTTTAATTTCATAAAAGTTCATGATGTTGCATATAATCAACATCTTCATTACTCTGGATAAAGCTGTCAAATATATTTTGTGGTAAAAAACCAAATAATATGCTTGAGTAAATAGTTTTCGAGTGACTCCAATTATCCAAATATTCTCAGGGGGTCAATATCTCTGGTATTTCTTAATTAGCTATTTGAATAAACAATATAACAATAATCATTACTATTACAACAACTAATTGACCGAACTAATAGAAAGTCAGATATAGAACAAAGAATTGCGCAAATTCGCCAAGAACAACCTCTACAAGCGTCATCTCTTGCAACACTTTACTGATGTGTCTAAACAAAAAAAGCACAAAACTTAGCGACATTCGCAAAAAATTTTTCGTTAATTCATCCACAGAAAATGAAAGTATTCTCGAAGCAGACACCCGCATTGACACCTAACGATGAAGTTGTTATTAGCGATAACGAACAATCGAATAATACAAGAAAAAAACGCGCAATTAGAACTACTATAAATAAGATACAGAAAACAAATTAAGTTTATTTGTTATAAGTCTACTACATTATTACTAGAAAAAAAGCACGTTTTTCTTCTTCTTCTTCTTCTTTTTTCTTTACTTAATTAATAAAAATTTAATCAAATATTACTAAACGTCAGTACATCGATTTTTGTAAATCCTCAATCAATTTTTCGTGGTACATTAACGCCAATGTCCAATAGTTGATTCCTGTAACATAACAGGTATCGGTATAACTTTTGTTTCTTAACATTGCGACATTTTATTGTACTACTTTCGGCAATAATCCTTAACCTCACCGAAATTTTTGAACGAAGCAAAATTCAGAATCAATAATACTTTGATATTATTGCCGAGTATCCTCACCTTGCGTCTCCTTAGCACTTGACCGGACTTATTTTCAGCAGGACAAGCTTATGTTGTCTTAAGTAAATGTTCTAAATAAAAACACCTTCAAATTATTAGCTTACACAAAGATGCTTTTAAGACTGATCCTGAAGTAACTAAAGAAGACCAGCGATTACAACAAATAGCTACAGATTTATCAATTTTCCGTTCACTTACACATTAAGATATATTATTATTATTATTAATACAATATTAATCAATAGATAAATATAATAATAAATTTAAATAATCGAGTATTTATCCGCCGCTTTAAATAGTCTGGAGAACGTCGTCACCATATTTATTATTAACTTCAATTAGAAATCATCATCGTACCTATACATTATTACGACAAACAAACCACGCGATGCATAAGGTGGCGAAAACAGTGAATAAATACTCGAATGTTAAATGTAGAACTTAAGAAAATAACAAATCGTGCAATACAATACACACTGCTGTATTTTAGTAGACTACGTTATGCTTAAAAATAAATATAATGCAGTTGATAATACTAAACCTACCACAGACAGTGAATATTACTTACTCAGTCAATTCCTTTATTTTTCATTTAATACTCGCTCTCTTCTTACTTGGTACTAATTCAAATTCATCGACGGCGCCAAGACATCGATACTCGTGCGTGGGAACATTGACAAATATATACTGCATAACCAAATTTTATAGTTAGACGTCCATGTAATGTTTTTCTTCGAGTAATTAAACCAACGTGGAGAGCTTGGCAATTTACTAAACTCGAATTGTAATCCTTACGTAAGTGTAAAACTTGACATTATTTGTAACTTTGCCGAAAAATTCTCAAGTAACGCGCAGGGCTGGCCAACCCCAAATGCAAGTGTTAGAGGGGGTAAAGCGACGGGTTTACGATAGTGCCTGCCTCTTAACGATGCCCGTTTTTATCTGATTATCAATCGCCACGGAAGTTGTTTGTCTTGTTCTTCGAGGATTTCTTCACTTGTTTAACGAAATGTTTTTCAAGATTGTATCTCTTCTTCTGAATCAGAATTGCGCGCAATTCCATAATCACGAAGGCAGTGTAATTTATCCACATAAGCAATTAAACTATCCAAGGAATAATTTTCCGTAATAGTTTACGTACGGCTGCAAGAACCAAGGAGCTATACCTTATAAATTACCCAATATATATATATTCTGTAAAGTTGGAATAAATCAATAAAAAATGTTACGGCCCATTCTGAGGATTGGCCAGGTTTCGGGATTGTCACTATCTACTTCTATTGTATCACACAAAAAT